TTCCAGGAAACTGTCGCTGGTTGCTATAGTGATAAACAAGTTGGCTTATTAGGGAAAGGAACAAAGATCTAGAGAAAATTATTTCAAAATGGCCTGCGTGCATGCATAAACATGCAATCTCACTCCTCATTGTCAGCTTGGGCAGCTGGTTTCCTGTTTGTGGAGCAGCACAGACCCCACATATTTATTTTAGCAAGTCCAGCCCAGTCTCMCCTGCCTGTGTTTTCTGACACAGAGTGTCCTGTGTGAGGGTGTGGGGCTTTCTCTTCCGAGTTGGATGATTAAACTTCCCAGGGGCTTCCATAACTGGATAGTATAGGAAATGCTTTCTTAGAAAACTGTTAGGTTCTAATGAGGCTGAAATAAGTCTAAAGAAGCAGAAGATGACAGAAGAAATTATGCTTTTGCTGTATCCTGTGCTGCAGCTTTATTTTTTCACCTTTTTTTTCCCTTGCTGATGCCAAGATACCTCTGTGCAGACACTTAGGGTGGTGATCTGTGCCTGTCAGATGGCAGAACATCACTTTCTCTGTGGGATGTCTGGTTTACATGCTGGTTTTTTGGGCCCTCATTAACGTGTAATAAATCTGTTCTCATTTGAATCCCTAGACACACAGTGGCTCCACTGAGATCAGGCTTGTGCCCCTGAGTGTCTAGGACTCCTGTGAGACGCAGCCCCGATGCTTTTTTCTTGGCTAATTACACATTTTGATTGACCAAGCGATGCTAAAAGGTGTAACTGCAAACACTAGAAACTGCACTACCGATATTTCATTCAGACAGGCAGGCTACTCTTTTGCCTGCTGTGATTTGAGTCACCTGGCATCTGGATCTACCCAYCACAGAAACCAGACTGATGAGCCCCTGTTGCATGCCAGAGCTAATTACCCACCTCCCGTTACCACCGTTCACTGCTTTTGAAAGAAAAACATGAAACAGCCTAAAGAAATGAACCATCCTTGGGTTTAAATCTATGCAATTACAGCCATGTGATATAGAAACTTTTTCTCTGCAGTGTTTTATACACTAGTTAAAAATAATTGCACATTTTTATATGTTTATCCAACTGATTTTGCTTCTTGTTCCCATGGGGCTGTAATAGTTCTATCAGCTGCAGGACCTATGAAACAATAAATTTTAATAGCTTTATTTCAAATGTTCTCTTATAACTCAGACTATTTTTCCAATAACTAGGAAAAAAGCAACCCAGTTTCTAATGTACCTAAAATYCTAAAATATACCTAAATCCTACAAAAAAATATGTAGAATTTAGCAAATCCTGATGTTCAGAAACTGGGGAAATTCAAATGAAGCAAGAAAAGGCTTGGCCAGCTTGTCCCCCTGCCGGGCATGTCCAGCTGAGAGGCTGGRTGGGAGTGCTGGATTGCAGCAGAASCCTCCAGACAGAGCTGCCTGATGGGTGCGTGACCCTGAGTCAGGAGGGGAAGAGAAGCAAAAGAGCTGAATTGTTTTAAGAATGTGGAATGGTACATCTATTGCACAGCTATAGAAATTCTCCCACCACGTCTACCCTTTTCTACAGCTATTGGAAAGGCTGAGAGCAATGAAGAAGAAAGGAACTGGGRCACACAGTTGTTGGCCAGCATTACACAACCCCTTGTGACTGCTTCCAGCCAGGGGCTGCAGCGTGGTCCTGTTTGAAAAAGCCTCCATGAGCCATGGAGAATGTTCCTAGGGATGAGATTTCTTTTGTGTATGTGTGCATATGCACACTTGCACACACAGGCTGCTTTCTAGGACTGTGTCAAGCATTCTCCTGCCAGAGTCAGGCATCCTCTGCTGGTGAGAAGTGCAGGAAACTGAAGCAGAGGTAGCTTTTTTTGAAAACAAGTGAAAAATTGGATGCCAAGTTCTGACACATCTCTGGAAAAAAATCTTTGGAGAATGGGGGCAGCAATCACAAYACCATAATAGATGAGCCAAGCCATAAACTACTGCAAACAAACAATTCTGGACCAGATCCTAAAGAGAAATGCCTGCCCACACACTCTGATACTACCCAGAATATGCACTGTGCTGCATACTGTGTGTGAAACCATAGGAACAGCCTGAGTCACACAGTGATTGGTACCATCCATCACAAGTTAGAAACTCGTCCATTGTTTCTGAGTTCCACCTGAGGCCTCAAATCAGATGTGACAATTTTTATAATAACCACTGCTAAGGTGTTCAGCTGAAAAAACTATCTCTGTAGACAGCTTGTCCCCACAAATGGAGTGGTTATTTGACTGGGTTCTTCCAATTTCCAGAGGAAGAACATTCTGCTTTGCTTATCAAGAAGCAATTTAATAAATAGCAGTTGGCTTGTATGTAGTGCCTTCATTATCTTTTACCATTCCATCTGAAATAATCTACACGTAAAGCTAACAGAAAATGYTGCAGCATTATTTGATATCACACCTGATGTATCTGGCTCATAACCTCTGAGCCTGTTCCGTGGCACCTGGAAACGTCACAACGGCTCTGAGGGGAAAATGTTGTTGTTGTGATTTGTTATCAAATAGCCACGTCTCATATTGTTACAGCAACCGTGACAGGAGTCAAGGCAGTGAATATTTGTTAGCAAGTGCAGAGCAGCACACAGTTACCAGCGTTCAGGAACACAAAGAGATGGAAGACCACCCCACAGTTCATCAGGGTACATCCCTGGTGCTGAGTTACTGTTTGTGCTCCTTCCTAAACTGCTGCAATTACACTCAGCTATTCTTATTGCTGCTTTTACTAATGTCTCATAGCCATAAACTATTAATTAACCTCTAAGGCTTTGAATACAGCACACAAGTTAACTAAAGATAATATTTTTGGATGAAAGGTAATATAAAGGTAAAAACAGTACTTTGAAAATATTTTAATATGTTTGGCTACAAATAATGCCAATTGAACATATGCATTTGTAACCCCTTTTTCTAGGTTCTGCACCAATAGTTTTTTTAAGAATCCTCACATGGTATCATAGAGTATCTAGAAGTGGCTAGCTTAGAATTAACTTTTCCAAATCATTGCTGACTTTCAAATGAGAACAAGCAATAGCTTCTTGGTATGTTGCTTTGATACACATGTTTACATTATTTGAATGAATTATCTCTGTAAATAGAATTGTACTGGAAATGAGAAAACAATGGTGTGCTCAGTCAYTGGAGAGACACAAGTTAAGGTGATCGTCCTCTAGATAAACTGCATCAGAATAAAACTGGCAACTGTAATTTTGTGTATAAGATGTTCTTAATTTGAATATATCGAACTATTTATGCTCGCTCTGTTCCTTCATATTATTTCATTAATCACATAACAACCCTTCCACTCCTCCACTAAACATGCTAACTCTGATTAGCTCCCTGRTACACAGATGTTTCTTCCTTTAGATGTTCAGTGCCTGGCCAGGTTTCACCCTCACTTGCTCATGAATTCCAGCTTACATTACATTGCTTCGATKTCCTATCTCTGTGTGTCCTTTCAAATCACAAATCGATTGGGAATAGATATGAATGATAGACTGACACAGTGCTCACATTATCTACATTTTTTATACACATGCATATGTGAAGGATGAATATAAAACAGGAACCAAAGCAGCAGTGTGAGCCCAAGGAGATTGGCATGCAAGCATCCCCGATTTCTGCAAGCCATGCTATTCCTACCAAAAAGTCAAAGTATCAGTGACGATTCACTCTTATTTCTCCTGTCAAATAACTCGGAAGACCATCATTTGATCTCTACGTTTTAATCAGAGAATCGTGGGGAATTCAGAAATTTGCAAACACTACTGCTGTTCTTCTGTGTTCTYATGCAGCATGAAGTTTTAAAAGCATAATTCACGCTGTAAGGAAGTGTTTAGTTATGACAGCGGGGAGTGTTGAAAAATACATCGGAAACTTCCCTGGGAGGAAAAGATTTGTAAGAGGTYTTAGATTGCGCATTTCATGTGTGTTGCAGCATCTGATGAATGCCTCTTTCTCTAAAGACAGGTGGRTTATTACAAAAATCTGATCTACGTATGCTTTTTAAGAAAGAGCTCTCAAGTCCATGTGATCTCCGGGGAAGCTKCATGCCCGAACAACGGGGAGATGCGGTCCAGGGCAGCCCGGGCTCGCAGGGCGATGCGGGCGGTGCGSGGCGGGGGGCGGAAGGCGACCGAGGAGAGCTGCGGGAAATCGCCGCCTTATTTACAACTTCTTCCTTCGGCCGGGCTCAAAAATATACCCTCCTCAAAAAAAACCCCARAAAGTTGACAAAAATTAGAGATCAAACCGAAGCAGAAATGAAGCGAGCGGTTCYCCGCTGCTCCGAGGGGGAAGTCGGGCACGCACCCCTCCGCCTACCCCAGCCCTGCCCGGCCCGTCGGACGGCCAGCGTCGTCCCGGGGAAGGCGTCCCGGTAGCCGGCCGAAGTTGTCGCCCGCCGGGGAGAAAAGGGGCACTCCGTCCCCATCCGAGCTCCCGTCCCCTCCGCCGGACCCCGGCGCTGCTCCCGAGGGCTCCGAGCGCAGAGCTCCCCGAGCCACCGCCCGCKCCCCGCGCTCCCGGGGCCGGCAGCCGGAGCGGGGCGGGGCGGGGC